ATTAAACAAAATATTCATAATAATTCTAGACTTTAAATTTTAGAAAATAATCACATAATAAAAATTGTTTAAACAAAAAAAAAAACACTACTATTTAAAGTAAAAACAAAAATTGTTTTTTTTTTTTTTTTTTTATGGATTTTTTAATTATAAAAATAGAATATTATTAATCCTTCTATTGGATATTATAATATAAATGAAAGCTTAATTAAACCTAAAATTTATAATGTTAAAATCAAAGAAAGAATAGATAAAAAAGAATAGTCTTCTTTAATTTTAAAATCTAGTATTTAAATCAAATTAAGTAATAATTTTATAAATGATAATAGAAACAATTAAAGTGTTTTCTTAAATAAATCTTACAATAATTTAAAATATTTACCACAATTAAATTATGAAGAAATTCAAAAATAAAAAGAAAATAATTCTAAAGTTGATACTTAAAACTAATAAATTTGTAAATATTAAATAAACTTTTATTAAGGTTTTAGTTTTAGTTTTAATTTTATTTTTTAAATTTTTTAATCTTTTTGTATATTTTAATTTTAAAATTAGATAATATTGAAGATATGCCATTATATGGCTTACACTAACCCCCTACAAAGAATGAAATTAATGAACTAACAAAAGATAAACTGTAAAATTAATTTAGTTATACTTTAATTAAACCTTATTTTTTTATATAAAGTAAGAAATATGGGTTTAATATAGATAATGAGAAATTTAAATTTTTAAGAGATAAGTTCTAAAAAAGCTAATAATGAGAATATTTTATTTTAAAATTATAAAAAATATATTTTAATTTATTTTGCCTTAAAATATATATATATATTTTTTTTAAAGGGTTAAATTAAATTAAAGCAGTTTATTGAATAATATTTATATTAAGTTTATTATTTATATTTTAATAGGTTCATTTTTTTTACATATTATAATATTTTATATTATAAATACCTAATATTCACATTTAAATTACAATATTTCTAATAAAAATTAATAATTATGATTTTAATTTATATAATTTATTGTTTTTAAAATAATCATTTTAAGATGTTTTAATTATAGATTTTATAAACAATTCGAAAATAAATAATATATATAATACAATAGTTGATAAAAAATAATTAAATTATTTAGTATGTAATTTAATTTAAATATTATAAATAAAATGAAAAAGTGTTTATAATAGTTATAATGTATTTATTGACCTTATTAAATGATTAAATATAATCTTAATTATTGTATATTTTAGCAATTTAAAAATATTAAAATAATCAATATATTATAATTTTGTATCTTTAAAAATAAATTATTAATAAAAATAGATTAATTTTTGTTTTATGTAAAATTAATAGTAATATTAAATTAATATAAAGAAATATTATTAAAATTTATATTTTAGTTTAAGATATTAAATCTTTTTTTAAAATTTTAAGAAATAATATATATAATTTTTAATAAATAATATATATTAAAATCATATACAAAATTACTCAAAAATTTTGTATATATTCATTTTTTTGCTATATTATTTTATATATATTATAACTTTATAATTTATACGTGTCAAATCTAATTTATATAGTTTTCTTATATTTCTTTAATTATAAGAGAACTTTGATTTAATTTCTTATTTTCTTTATACATTTACTATCAAGTAATTTTAATTTAAAAGCTATTTAAATTCAAATAGTAATAAAATTAAATTTAATTGCATCTTTAATAATATGAATAATTTTTAATATTAATAACACTTAAATTCATAAATTATTGATTTAAAATTTTTTTTTGTATAAAATATAAAATTTATTTTCATCCTATTTTTTCAATAAAATTTCTTTTAAATAAAAATAAAATAAAATTATTAAAAAATAGTATTATATATTTTTTTTTTATTTAATAGATATAAAGCTAAAATTAAAAAAAAATAATTGATATGTTACAATAACAATTATTTTATTAATTATAATAAAGGAAAAATAATATCAGCCTTTTTAAAAAATGAAATCCAAGTTTTTTTATATTAAAAAAACTTATTTGAAATTATTTAATTAGTTTATATATATATTTCATTCAATTAAAAGTAAAGGTTTTTAAGAAGTAATTTTTTAAAAAATTTTAATAAACGAAAAAATATTTTTTAACTGTTTTTTTATTTTTATTAAAAAAAAAAAAAAAAAAAGAATTATACAAATTAAAACACAAATATTATTTTTTAACATATTTTATTTATTTATTCTGTGATTTTTTTTTTTAAAAAAACTCAATTAACAAAAGACTAAGTTTAATAAAATGCATAATCACTTTTATTTTATTTTTCTCGATTGAATTTTAAAATAAAAATATACAAAAAATAAGAATAAACTATTCTAAAAGTAATATTAAAGCTAAATATAAAATAATTAAAAAAACCATTCAAATGCAATATTATTAATTTTAAATAAACAAAATAAAAAAAAAAAAGTGAATTTAAAAAAATCAAAAAGAAAAAAAAAAAAAAAAAAAAAAAAAACTAAGTAAAAAAAATAAAAAATAAAATAAAAAAAAATAAAATAAAAATAAAAAATAAAAATAAAATAAAAATGAGTGAAGAAATAGAACCTCATATTCTCCGAAAATTCGAAATTATTTAAAAATTAGGAAAAGGTGCTTATGGAATAGTATGGAAAGCATATTAGTAAAAAACAAAGTAAACTATAGCTTTAAAGAAGGTTTTTGATGCCTTTCATAATGCCACAGATGCTCAACGTACATTTCGTGAAGTAATGTTTTTATAGGAATTAAATAGACATGAAAATGTTATTAGATTATAAAATATAATTAAGGCAGAAAATAATAAGGATTTATATATGGTTTTTGATTTCATGGAAACTGATTTACATGCAGTAATTAGGGCAAATATACTTGAAGAAATTCATAAACAATATGTTGTTTATTAAATTTTGAAAGGAATCAAATATATACATTCAGGAGAAATTATTCATAGAGATTTAAAACCTTCTAATATATTACTAAATAGTGAATGTCTTGTAAAATTAGCAGATTTTGGCCTTGCTAGGTCTCTCGCTGCTTAAGATGGAGAAAGTGATGCGGTTAGAACTGAATATGTGGCCACAAGATGGTATAGGGCTCCTGAAATATTACTGGGAAGCTCTAAATATGCAAAAGCAGTAGATATGTGGTCAATTGGTTGCATTATAGGAGAGTTAGTGACTAATAGAGCTATATTTACAGGAAGTAGTACATTAAATTAAATTGAGAAAATTTTAGAATTAACTGGAAAACCAAATCATGAGGAAATAGAGTCTCTAGAAAGTGAATTAGCATGGAATATTATTAATAGTGTTTAAATTTGTAAAAGAAAAACTTACCATTAAATGTTCGCAGGGGCTCCGGAATTAGCAATTGATTTGATTAAAAAATTACTTTGCTTTAACCCGAAAAATAGATTGACTGTAGAATAGGCATTATAACATCCTTATTTAAAAGATTTTCATTGTCCAGAAGAAGAGATTATTTGTGGAAGAATAATTCCTATATGTATGAATGATAATAAAAAATTTTCTATTAGGGAATATAGGGAAGCTCTTTATAATTAAATTGCTTAAAAAAAGAAAGAGTAGAGAAAAAATATAATTGATTAAACAAATAACTAAACAAATGATTAAATTAATTATAATAATAAATCATAATAATAATAAATTAATTAATAATAGATTTTATTATTATAATAATAATAATAATAATAATAATAATAATAATAATAATAATTATAATATTAATAATAAATTTAATTGCAAAAATAATAAGTTTAATAATAATAATAATAATTAGCTTTTTAACAAAAATAATTAAATAACCAATAAATTTTAGAAAAAAAAAAATAATTAGAATAATAAGAAAATTTATTTAAGAAAAATAGCTTACATAAAACTAATCTTAATTCATCTTTTTAAAAAGAATATAGTAAAAATGTTGTATCTACGAGTTTTTAATTTTAAAATGATGACTAAAAAAAAAATAATACAAATAAAGTCTTAATGTATTAAACATATATTAATAAAAATAATCACAATAATAATAATTATAATTATAATACGGTATATAATTTTAGTTAATATAATTAATTTAATAAAGCTCTTAACTAAAGTTAAAATGAAAATAATTATTAAACTAATAAAGTAAATTCATTTAGTAATTATAGTAGTATATTATAATAACCTTAAATTTCTAATGTTTATTAAAGTTAATAATACTAAAAATAATATTAATAATAATAATAATAATAATAATAATAATAATAATAATAATAATAATAATAGTAAGTAGAAGTTTAAAAGCCAGTAAGTTCTAATAAAACATAGAGTTAGTAAGGTAATAATAATTCTTTTATTTAATATTAATAAATATAATATAAGCATTAATAATAGTAATTATAATAATAAATTCATAAGTATTAATAAGGCGTTATTTAAGGTTATCATGTTAGATAAAAATCTTAAAATGTATAAAAAAGTATGTATAAATGAATTTAAGTTTCATTTATTTCCAAAAATAAATATTTATATAAAGTGAATAAAAACTAAAATAATATGTATAATTTTTAATAATTTAGAATATATACCTATTCATATTTTAAAGATATATTTTTTTTATTTTTATTTTGTTCTATATGCTAATATATTAATAATATTTGATATATTTATATTATTTAATATTTATATTGTGTTTTTTATTTTTTTTATTTTATTATTATATATTAAGCAAATTATTTATGAGAACCTTATTGTTTAATATGAAAAACATAAAAAATATAATTATAATTTTATATATTTTATTTCAAATCTTTTATAAATCATATAATAAGTTATATTTCTTAAAAAATATAATAATAATAATAAACTTTATTCAAAATAAATAAATAAATAGAAATGTAAAATTAAGAAAAATAGTTAGTAATTTAAAAATTAAAAAAATAAAGATTTTATTTATATTTGTTTTTTATAAAATAAGCATCTACCGCCTTTAAACCATAACTATTCTTAAGTATAATATAATCAATAAATATATATATAATAAAAAATTAAAAAAAGTATAATACATAAACACTTATTTAAGAAACAGTACCAGATAATGAAGAAAATAATATTAATCAAGGCAATTATAGTTATATTCCTTTTAAATTTCCCGAAGGAAATGATCAAATATATCAATTTTATTAAAATGAAAAACATAAAAAGTAAGAAAAAAGCAAATTAAATCGAGAAGCAAAAATTTGGGATAAAAAAACAAGTTCAACAAACATAGATTTAAAGCATTTTAAAAACTTTTATCCAGTTAATAATACAAGAATTAATTTGAAATAAAATTTTAAAGAAAATTAAAAAAAAATGATTCAAACAGCGCTTTAAATAACAGAAGAAAGACAAAAAAGATAAAAATTTGGAAGAAAAACAGAAAATTTAAATGATATTTTAAAATAGAAAAAAGAAATATTTTTAATTACTATGTCTCATGATATTTTAGAAAATGAAGTAGAATATAATTTATTATTTTTATATATAAAAAAATCATATATATAAGATTGAATAATTAAAAAAATAATAATAAGAAAGAGTTGATTCATTAATTTAAAGCGAATTAAATCTTAAATAAGACTATGATAAATTTTAAAAATATTTAGATATTAATAAATATTAAAAAAATTAAGCAGAATTAAATGCTGATTAATAAAATAAAATCAAAAAAGATAAAGATGCCATTATAAAAGAATTAAATTTAAAAATTACTTCTATGAAAACTGAAAAGTCAAGATATGAAGAACTTTTGTAAAATTATAAAGAACATAAAGAATTTTTAGATAAAATATCACCAAAAGTAACTTTTTTTATTCTTTTGTATAATAATAAAAAAAAGGAATGGGAAGATTAAAAATAAGAAAAAAAAAAATAATATATATAGATATTAAAAAATAATTGGATTTAAACAAATATGGAATAATATTGTATAAATATTTTAATAAAATAATATATAAAAAAAAAAAGTGAAATAAAATAAAAATTAAAAATCATCAGTTTCGAATGAAAAAAATACAAAACAAATGCAATATAAAAAATTAGAAATTTAATTTTAATAATTTGTTTAGAAAAATGAATTAGAAGAATTAGAAGGTTTTTTATTAAGATTTTATATATATATATATATATATATATATAATAATATATATATATTATTATATATTGCATTTTTAAATTAATTTATTTTTTTAGAATTTGAATATAAATATCCTATGTATTTTTAACATCATAGTTAATTAATATAATGTTTTAACGATTTGGAAGAAAAGAATTTGTTTTTAATTTAAGTTAAATAAGAAGAATCTACTAATTTAGAAGAGTTCAGGAATAAGTTTAAGATAGAAAAATAAGTTTTTTTTAAATAACAATTAGTTTAATAATATATCTTTTTTAAAAAAAAATATATAATAATTTAAATAGAATTATAATTAATAATTAAAATACCTTAAATAGTAAAAGGATTCTTTAAAAAAATAATTAGATGATATTAACAATAGTATTAAAAAGCTTAAATAAAATTATGAAAGTGAAAATGTTAAAATTGTTGATAAAAATGAAAATTTACTAAGAAATCAAGTATACAGAAATAAATATTTATATATATATATATATATTTTATTTACATTAGATTTTTGAATTTAATAATATATTTAAAGAAGAATTAAATATAAATGATACTGATTCTAAGAAAACTTTAAATATTTTAACTGTTTTTTTTTATATATATATATATTAATTATTTATTTTCAAGTAAGTAGAGATATTATTAGTAAAATAATTAAAGGATATAGAGAAATGTCCTATTAAATTAGTTGAAGAAAAGGTAAATTTTTATTAATTGTTTATAAAAAGTTTATTTAAATAATAAAAGAGAAAAAAAGCTTAAAAAGAAAGAAAATAAATATAAAAAGAATATTAAAATAAAATAAAATAAGAAGACTTTGATAGAAGAAAATTAAAGAATTTATAAAAAATTACTTAATAAAGCAGAAAGAAGTAAAAAAATAAATATTTAAATTTATACTAATTCTTTATTTTTTTAGAACTGGAAGATTAGTAATGTCTAGAAGTTCTCCTTTTCTAATGTTAGCTTAAAAATAAGAAAAACCATAAAAAAATTTAGAAGAAGGAGATTCTAAATATTTTAGATAAGATTATTATTTATTATGAATAAAAATTTTATATTAATTTTATTTTATTTTTTTAAAAAATAAATATATTAAAAATTTAAATAAAAAATAAATAATAATAAAAAATTAATTTCTTTTTTTTTAAAAAAAAAAAAATATAAATTTAAAAAATAAATATTATTAAAAATGATTGATAATACAAATAATAATAATAACAATAAAGAATTTTTACAATTTAATTTAAAATCATATGCATAAGTAGATGCTAAGAATCTTCCTTTTTAAAAAATGTATTTAAGTTTTTCAGGATCTATAGAAAGTGGTGAAGTAACAATAATAAGTTACAATAAAAATAAAATAAATAAAATAAAAAGTTTGAAGAAGAAGAAACATTAACATGTCAATACGAAATTGCCTATGGACATAATTTTAATCCAATTGATAATGTAAATTTAAATAATAAAATTAGATTAATTATATTTATTGGAAAAAAATAAAAAATAAATAGTAAATATTAACAGGAAAATCATAATTTTCAACTTCTCATAGTTTATATGTGAGAGAAATAGTTTTTAATTTACCTTTTGAAGCAACTTTTTAAACTGATAGTCCTTTTGGATGGCCTTAATTAGTTATATAATTATTTGGATATAATTTTTTCGGAATGCAAGAAATCAGAGGTTATGGAAGTGTACATATACCAACTTAACCTGGATAGTATATATTTATTTAAAATTTATAAATTAAAAAATAATAAAGTCATGAAAGAATTGTTAATATTTATAGGCCTTTGGCTACAAGTAAAGTTTCGGCTTTTTTCAGTTTCTTTTCTAAATAATAAATTAAATATCATGATCCTAAAAAAGTTATAGCATATGGAGAAGGAAGAGATGGTATTTATATAATATTATTAATAAAAATTATTATAATATAAATAAAAAAAAATATTTTTATAGTCACAAGAGTTGAATCGGTAGGAACTATAAAAGTTAAGTTTAATGTAATGAAAAGAAATTTTTAAAAAGCAGGTTATACATGAAAATTATTATTTATTTTTAATATTTTTTTTTTTTTAAAAAAAATCATTATATTTATATATATTATTTATATATTGTGTATTTTTATATTTTTTATTTTAAATTATATTAAAATTACATTATTTATTATTTTAATTATATATTATTATATCATTCGTTAAAAAATTATACATTTCCTATATATTTATTTTACTATTTTAAATTATTTAATACATTTTATAATTATCTTAATAAGTTTTCTAATACAGATTAATCTTTACATCCATATAAATCTATTTAATTTTATTTTAAAAGTATAAATATAACTATTTTTTATAATATATATTTATTTTTAACTTAAAATAGCTTTATTTGTTAATTCTTAAACAACTTATCTATGCTAAATTGTTAATAATATTTATTCTTAATTTAAATTATTTAAAGATAATAATCCAAGTACATTCTTATTATTTATTAAAAAATAATTATATTTATTTTACTAAATAAAATACATTTATTGATATTTCAAAAATATTTCCATATTTATCACATGTAAAATATTGAGAATTTTAATAATTGCTTAAATTTATTTATGCATATTTCAATGCCTCCAAAGTTTGACCTTATTTTATAATTTCAATAAAAGATAAAGCATGTAAATTAGGTAGTATATTATTATCATTTTATACTATTTAAGGTAATTAGTTATTTATTTTTTCAATAACAGTTTAAGCATCTCCATCCATTATCATTTTTAAAATTTCTATAAATAATAATTATATAGTTTATATATTTATATATAAAAACATTTATATATTTATATATAAAAACATTTATATATTTATTTTATTTTAATATAAAATTTTTTGAATTTTTTTGATATATATATATATATATATATATATATATATATATTATATATATATATATATATATATATATTACCTCCTCTTAATTATTCGAAATAAGCTTATTAATAAAATAAAGAATTATTAATATCATTATTATTGTCATTACTTATTAATTAATTGTTTTAATTTTATTTATTTTTTTAAAAAACATCATCATTATTTTAATTTTATTAAATACATTATTATTATTATATATTTTATTATTATTAAATATTTTATTATTATATTGTATTTTCTCTATTGTTTGAGTTTTTTTAATCATTTATACTATTATTATTATTCTCAATTATCATTTATTATTATGTTGAAGTTTATTCTTAGTTTTAATTTTCGTTTTCTTTTTCAGTATTTTCCTTTATAATATTGTTATTACTTTTATAAATGTTTTTTTATTATTTTTATTCTTCTCGCTTTTTTTATAATAATATTTATGAATTTTACTATATTTAACTTGCATTTTCAAATGCTTTTAATGTGTTAAAATATCCATTAAAGTATAAATATTACTAAATTATTTAATGTATTTAATAATGGTTTATTTCCTTTTATAATATCTGAGAATATAATTGATTTTATTCATTTTTTATTAATGTCATTATATCAAATTTAAAACTTTTTTCGTCAAAATTTAACGTTACTTTCTATTTTTAAGCATTTAATCCTATTGTTGCATATAAATTTGTCTTTATTATTCCTTTAAATGCTGGTCCTTTATTATAATATTATTGAATTTCTATTTTTTAATTTTTTTTACCATGAAAAACTCCGTTATGAGTAATAAATATTTCTCCTTTAAAAAAGTTTATTCCACATCCGATTATGTCATTTGTTTTGATTTTAGTTATACTTTTTAGAATTTGAGACTTTTTTTAAAAAAAATAATAATAATATATATTCTTTCATCAAATATATATTTTTAAAAAATTTCTTAAAAAATAAAATAAAAAAGATTAAATATTTATATGTTTTATATTTTTATTTATAAACTTATTTTTTATTAGAGAAAAGCAATCCATCTGAATGATATCCATAAGAACTTTAAAGAAAATATAATCATTATTTGAAATATAGAAAATATTTAATATATATAATTATGAAGTATTATTTATATATAATTATTATTTATCAAAATACTTTTTTGTCTAACCAGGAAATTTATTCATAGGAAAATCTATTTCTGCAAATCCAACACATAATTCACTTTTTAATTAAAAAAAATAATACATTTTTTTATAATATATTATTTTTTTATAGAATTTTA